TCTCTCAGAAGCTTACCCTGCTTCTAATGGATGCAGCCCGGCTGAGTACGCCGCGCTGCGCCGGACTCGCACCTATGCTCCCAGGGTCGCTTCGGCGGTCGTGCTTCATCTCTCTACTTAATCTTCTGATCTATCAGATGCAGCTGGCCGAGTAGCTGCGCTGAGCCGTCAATCGGACTCCTAATCAAAGGCATCCATACCTGTATTCTTCACTCTTCTGATCGCAGGCTCCCCATCACGCTGCCCATCACGCTGCCCATCCTGCAGCGGCGCTGAACTCCGGCTCATCTTCCAAGTACATGTCCGCCCTCCTCGCAGCATCTTCCTGCTCTCCTTCTATGGCTTCTCTGCATAAACGTCTCACCATTGCTCACTCAACCTTCATGCGGTCCGAGACACGGCTTCCCGGACCATCCTACTATCCTGATTATCTACTCTCCAACCCAAGATTCTAAGCGTAAGGGCGCCTGCAACATCAATGGCCCTCTCCGACATGTCTCTGCCCCTACAGGTCTCCGCCTCTACACGGACGTGCCCCTTCCGTGGGTTTTGGGGGATTCTTCCAGGACCATTGGTTTGCCGAGCGTGGCCGCTACTTTCCACCGGAGCATCTCCTCTGCCCTACACGAGATATTCCCAGTGGTCGTGGCTGCGCGCTGTGGAATCACACGTGGCAGAGAAAGAGGATCTCTGTCATGTGTGATAATCTCGACGTAGTGGAAGCATTAAACAAAGGTCGCTCTTTTTCACCCAACATAATGTCCCCTGACCATTTCAACCTCCGTCTCAAACATTCAAAAATCAAAGGAGCCTGCAATATAGTAATAGCTCGCTCGGACACATCTCTCTGCCCCTACAAATCCATGATGCGTTACACTCGCCTCCGCTGCAAAAAGGAGATTTTAACGGACCTCTTTCTCACTCCAGACATTCTTCCCATGACAGCAACCTGGTTCAGAGCTCAACTAAGATCCCTACTGCTCCTCTGTAAATTATCTCCCCAGCTCTACACAGCCCACTCTTTCCGGATAGGCGCCGCCATGCGCGCGGCCTCGCTGGGGCTCCCCCACACCTCTCTGCAACAGCTGGGGCGCTGGTCCTCTTCGGCCTTCTCCGCCTACATCAGGCCAGACGCGTCCGCCATCTTGGCTGCACAACGGCTACTGGCTTCCTCGTAAGCTCCCAGCAAAGCAATACGAAGCAAAGTAAGTGAACCAATAGGATTTCTGGTGGCGGCACGCACTTTTAAAGATAACTCTGCTACAGCGTCTGGTATCGATCGTGATGCGAGCGCTCACGTCCCAGACAGCGTCCGGTTGATCGTGATGCGAGCGCTCACGTCCCGGCGCTTAAAGATAACTCCACTGCAGCGTCTGGTACCGATCGTGATGCGAGCGCTCACGTCCCAGACAGCGTCCGGTTGATCGTGATGCGAGCGCTCACGTCCCGGCGCTCAAAGACAACTCTGCTACAGCGTCTGGTATCGATCGTGATGCGAGCGCTCACGTCCCAGGCAGCGTCCGGTTGATCGTGATGCGAGCGCTCACGTCCCAGCGCTCAAAGATAACTCTGCCCGTTTTTGGGGATTATGCGCGCGAGCAAGCGCCGCACTCAACAGCATCTCTCCCGGGCCTAGGGCGCCAAACATACTCAATCAACAAACTTCTAAATGCATTTTCCCTCTTGGGTCTCTCCAAAGTGAAATGGAGCTCTTCGCGAAAATTCACTGTGGTAGACCCGGCCGCTGCCGCCAGATCTACAAGCCTGCTCATCCTCTACTCATTACACAAGCAAAACGCCCACATCTTATCCACCAATAACCACCAGGACAGCAAGTTAAAAGCCGGAGACGCCCACTTCCCGGCCTTCTGAAGGTTGCAAAGCCTCCGCCGCCCCACCTCCTCCTTCTCTCATCGAAGCGTGCTTGCCTACTGCCTCTGCCGTCACCAGTGCCTAGGCCCCGGGGAGGATTATGCGCGCGAGCAAGCGCCGCACTCAACAGCATCTCTCCCGGGCCTAGGGCGCCAAACATACTCAATCAACAAACTTCTAACAAACTTTTTTTTTTTTTTTTTATTTATTATTTATTTATTCTGTAGTCCGTTGGTAAATGGTCTTACTGTATACCGTCTATCACTGTATTACATCTTATATATCTGTCACTCTTACCCCCCATTTAGGTTAATAACCCCGCCGCGCGCGCACACACCCACACCCACACACACACACACACAGGTATAGTTATATATTTCTTTAAGTCCTCTCTATAACTAATATTAACATTGTTTGTATTGCTTGCTTATTGACTGTCCCTATGTATATGTTCACCTGGTGTGTAAATAAATAAAAAAAACAAACTTCTAACTGCATTTTCCCTCTTGGGTCTCTCCAAAGTGAAATGGGAGCGGGGTCGCCAGTACAGGAGGCGCATGCCAGACCTATTGTACATATTTTTAGTGGTAGGGGAAACCGGAGTACCCGGAGGAAACCTACGCAGACACGGGGAGAACATGCAAACTCCACTCAGAAAGGCCCTGGTCCAACCGGGATTCGAACCCAGGACCTTCTTGCTGAGAGGCAAGAGTGCTATCCACTCAGCCACCGTGCCGCCCTTTAGTCCATAAGGGGCCGATGACCAATGTCCATAAAGGTTTATAGATTATCCTATTGCCACTGTCCTTAGACCGTACAGAAAGCTTATCCTCTATACAGAGCAATAAACCCTTTTCGAAACATGTATGGCACAACTGCCCAGACTCTTACACGGCTTGTTATTCTGTCATTATGCAAGTACTGTCCTTTGTGAGTTTTAAAACCTTATTCACCTGACCACATGTAAGCCACAGACTCTAAAACACTTTGGTTTTATTTCTGTCTAAACTACGGCTATTTATGGTCACTCTGAACAATCAATCAATCAAATCTTTATTTGTAGAGCACTTTTAAAACAGCCCAGGCTAACCAAAGTGCTGGACAGACAGTAAAAAACAGCACGATAAAAACACATCAAAATACAGAAATATTTATACACGTAAAAAACAAAAACTTGTCTCTTTCTGGTATTAAAAGCCAGCCGAGGTGCATCAAGGTCAGATGGAATTTGGCTGCAATTTTCTGCAATGTATATATTTTCAAATCCATAAAGCGAAAGAGGTCGTTGATCAGGAATGACACCATACGAGTAAATAGTCACAAATGAACCACATGCTAACAATTCAATGTAGTTTATGGATATGGATTTTGGACTTAGCACCTCATTAGACATGTTTCTCCAAATTACATCATAAACAGTGACAAAAACAACACCACAGGATGTTTAATTTAATGGCTAAATCCCTCATTTCGCAAAGGAATAGTCAAACGGGCTCCTCTCCATCTGCCGCACATGCGCTCAGCTAATTGTGCCGGTACAACACGAAGGGGGTGGGCCAAATATTCATAGTTATAGGAATATACTATTTAAACCAATTCTATTTTATCAGACCAGTTGAAAGATAATTTACTCATATAATAAGCCAATGTTGCAGTCACTGGTGTATGTTTGTTTTGTGTTTTTCTCACTGAGGTGAAACAAATCACAGGCAGATATTACACCAGTGAGAAACCGTGTAGAGTTTTTGAGTGAACAGTCATCACCCGATAAAAACAAATAGAATAATGATAATGACCTTATGACTAAAAAGCTACTAAAAAGCTACAATTATACAGTGGCTATAATAGTTAAATAACTAAAATAAGGATTAGGTTTATTTTTGCTTTTTTTAATAACGCAACTTTCATATGCAGAGCAGTTAAATGTCAGCGTTTAGGCTCTTTTCAGTTCAAAATGAGAAGATAATTTATAAATACTTTTGCTCTGAAAATAAAACATACTGGAACTAATAACATTGGTCTTTATTCACTCAACAAAAACACTTCGAAAGCAAAGAAGTTTAAAAAAAATCTTGGCTAATTCTGTTAATTTTGCTAGTGTATAAACCTATACTTACAACTGTCCATTTCAAGTCTCAGAGGACTTTAGAAAGTTGAAGAAATGCAATGATAACAAACAGCCTTTGGTCCATAGGGGGCGGATGACCACTGTCCATAAACGTCCAGGAGATAATACGTGCCAGTCAAACCAGTGCCAACCATTTTGCATTCCTCAAAAGAAGCCGCAGCAACAACAAACCATAGAAGTAACAAGCCATGGTGTGTGGACAAAAACAATGTTTCCAGATCACACACATGAATGAGCGCTGCACATGGCTCTGAGAGAGACCACGTATCTCTGCTCTGGGAGAATCTCCACATGACAAAGTCTTATGGAGGGGTTTTAATAATGGATACTACCCTTTTACTGTATGCCGGGACATTTATAGCCAAGAACTAGAATAACTGCGTTGATGTTTTTGCTGTTGCCATGCTCTTTTTTTAAATGTGTTTCAGTTCTTAAAGAAACAGTACGGCATTTTCTGCAAGTGGAAAATCTCCTTCAAGGAAAAAAGGTTTGAAGAGAAATACCCCTAAGAGCAGGAAGTAACATGGATGGACATACAATACACATACACAGAGGACTTCAACACAACCTTCTAACACAAAAATTAACTATAAAATCAAAATGTTGAAAACATGTGAAAACTAGTGATAGAACCAGTTTTGAGAGAAAGTAAATAGATGGATTTTATTACATAGTTCCATTTTCTGTTTTAACTCCCAGAGCGGTACATTTTCAGTTATTTTCACCAGTTTTATTAAACATGGGTACAGATAAATGACTTACGTTAATTAAACCTGGTGATTTTTTTGGGGGGGATTTCTCAGAATTCTATTGGTTTGATTGAGAGCAGTCAAAATGACAGCTCTGGGAGTTATATAGTTTCCTAGTACAGGCAAAAGTTAACAATTTCAGCTATTAACTTTTGTCATTTTGTGCACGAAAGCCATATATTTGTTTCTGAATACAAAATCAATATTTCTATTTGTAGACAACATGATTTGACTCTGAATCCTGTGTTTTCTCAGGCAGCTGTTTTGTGCTGGAGAATAGAATAAGACCCACCTTTGTAGTAGAACAGACATCTGTCAGTGAGGACAAACCAGCGCTTGTTCCACTGCTTCACCCCGCTGCTGCCCTGTACCACACACACCACACAATCGTCAATGAAATACTCTCCGTTTTAACAGAGCAGCAGCAATTGTGTCATATTTGTCAAGTTCTCAAATCTATAAAAACAGAACTATTTTCAGGAGACAAAGCATGTACATTCAAAAAGATTACAGAACTCGCTGGACTATAAGTCGCTACTTTGGTCGAGTTCTTTAAATCCTGGGGTCTATATAGCGCTGCGACCAATCTGTAATTTGGGCTAAAGTCAGAGAAGAGTTATTATTTTGACTACTTTCCATCAAGTTCAAGAACGAATATTAACATCAAATAGATTAAAACCCCTCGTTATGGATCTGCAGTCTGTCCGTCCATGGAAGCAAATCCCTCTCTTACCTCAAGGTTTCACTTTTTTCCCAATTTTTTTGTTATTATTTTTTGAGTCGTTCCTTGCAGATGCAGGAGGCTCTAAGGACTGTAATGATCCGGGACATTAGAGAACCTTTATGCACATTTATTGAACCATTATAGACTTTGTTAATATTGCATTTCAGTTTCAGTTTTTCCTATGTGGTTTTACTGCAAATGGCAAATAAATGAATCTGAATCTGAATTTCCTGTGTTTGATTCTCTGATCTGCTGTTGGTGAGACGACTGCTGCTGTGATTTAGGGCAATACAAAAATGAATTAAATTGAGTACTTTTTAGACTGTCATCTAAGTGTTACATTCATTCACAACATGAAAACCTGCTCAAATGTAGCTGGTGAGGTTAAAAACAAGTGCGCTCCATAGTCCAGCTGGTACTGTACATGATCACTGATGGGTAACATATGTTTAATATAGCAGGGATAATGCAATGTAATGAATAGGCTGCAATAGCACATGCATTTAGAAATAATACTTTGGTTTACAGTAGACTATGCTCTGACCTGCTTGTACAGCCAGCCCTGTTTTGTAACGACAGCTTTGGGATTTCTGCGCATGGAGTTGGAGCGCTTTCCAAAAGAAGCAGCTTTCCGAGGCGTCCGAGAAGTCTGCAGGGAGAACGGTGGAATTTCATTAATTTGACATGGAGGAAATGATCTACAACCAGATGCTTCTTAACTTCAGATTATCTGAATAATTCGCACAGTGATCTTCTGAAAGGAGAGATAATGTGCAACTTTGTTAATCATTAAAAAAATATTCCTGGAGTGGTTTTTGGCTCCATCAACGCTAATATGAGGAACTTCTCAGAGCACTACAATAAATCAAAGTAATTGTCTCCATTTTAAAACAAAAGTATTGCCTCAAATTTGGTTTTGGGATTTTAAGATAAAATAAGATAAGATAAGATAAGAATTCCTTTATTCGTCCCACAGTGGGGAAATTTCAATGTTGCAGCACACATACAGTAGTAAGAGCACACAGGGAGCACACACAATATATACAAAATAAGTAGTAGCTATGTTTCTTAGCTAACATAACTAGCTGTATATATATATATATATATATATATATATATATATATTTTTTTTTTTTTTCTACAGATAACTGATTAAAAGCTTGTTTTGGTCATTGGGAAAATAGCATTTGTTTTACATTTTACATGTGTTTGTGTGTATTGCATGCTGCTTTTATTTCTTTTGAGCCTGTGAAACACTTTGGGCAGCTGGTGTGCTATACAAATAAATTTGACATTGACATTGACATAAATTTTGCACTTCTACCATGACTTTTTTTGATGATACTGCAGCCAGATCAAACATGAGGAGAGGAATTTCCCCTACGACTATAAAAATATAAATAAATAAAATCCTCGGATCCTGACCAAGCAGAGCACCAGCTTCTGGAGATGGTCCCTGGGCACTTTACCACTGCTCCTGCTCTAGCAGCAATGAAGGATGGGTCAAATGCAGAGGACAAATTTCCCTACGGGGACAATAACGTATGACTTACTGTATATAACGATTGGAGTGAGAGCAATCACCTCATCCCCAACATCCCATAAAGTAAAGCACTGATTATGGGCCAAAATGAACACATATAAAATAATACGACTAATAAATGATAGAGGCGTACAATAGAAGGAAACTGACTTGCTTTGAGAATTAGGGTTGGCTCCACACTTTGGGCTATTTCTACACTTTGAGGTTGTATGTAAATAATATATAAGAACTGGCTTGCATGCAGTTTTTTGGATTATATAAGAGCATGCAGTGTGTGTGTGTGTGCGTGTATGTATATGTGCGTGTGCGTAAGTGTGTGTGTGTGTGTGTGTGTGTGCGTGCTGACCCGGCTGTATGGCTGGTTCTCCTGGGACACCTCTGAAACCATGATGGCACTTTTGGAGTGAGGGAGGCGTCCAGCAGCAGCGTTCCCATTCATGTCCAGATTACACTGCCTACACACACACAAGCAAACACACACACACACAAAGTGCAATTCAAGCAATGTACACAAAAAATATACTTTCAGTGGATCTTTATATATCATAAAACATCACAGGATCAGACACAAGAGTAAGTTTGAACAGAAAGATTTGTGTTATAGATTAAATCCATCCATCCATTTTCTTCCCCTTAATCCATTTCTGGGTCAGGGGGGTGGCAGTCAGAGCTGCACCCAGTACACATAGCACCAGCTCCTCACTGATCCTCCTGCAGGTGGTGAGTCCACAGGAGCTGAGATCTTTCAGTTGGGGCTTTGGGCAAAGTAGGGTTAAGTGTCTTGCCCAAGGACACAACGACAGCAGTCATCAGTGGGCATGGGCGTCGGACTGGGGGGGTAAAGGGTACCGAGTACCCAGGGCCCAAGGCGGGGAGGGGCCCTATAAAGTGTGTCTTTGTATTTATATGTATTAGGCATTGTGGTATATTCATATTATTACAATTTGAATGAAAGGGGCCCTGTATAAAAATAACCAACGTTTTAACCTCAGTTTTCCTCTAAAAACAAATTTGTATGCTATATCAGGGCCCTGCCACCCCCTTACAAAAGATCAAATGGTACGACCCACATGTGCGCTTGTTGCTGTGTTGCTGCCGCTGCAGCGAGTTGACTTGTTTGACAAGCAGCGGCAGAAGCGGGAAAAATAGAAATGTCTTTTCCAAAGAAAGGAAAATCAGGATTTCAGAAAAGAAAAGAAAGACAGGACAGGGAGAAAAAGTGTAATGAGGGCAAGCAATTGCTTACTCAGTTCTTCCACACGAGAGGTGAGTAAATAGAGACGTGTTAAGGCCACATCAGGAGAAAACCCAGAGACATTTGTTTCTGTATTCTAAACTCACGGAGAGCTAACAGTGTGCCGTGTACGTGGTAAAAAAAAAACGTTATCCAGAGTGACACACACAGACGCGCAGCTGTAAAGGGAGCTCACACACACTGCTGTCCACTTCTCCTTCAAAGGCAGGCAGCAGAGTTATTTTCATGTACAACCCTGTACCCTATATTCCCACTATTGTCATAATCTGTCCGTCCGAGTCTTGCAGTCATAAGTCACGGGTCACTCACTGGCCTCTGCATTGGATCATCTGGTTATAACCATACAAATCACACGCCCCCGCACCGATTTGGAGTTTTCTGGTGACATCTAGTGGTCAAAATAATGTAAGTCTAATGGTCTAAAGGTTTCTAGCTCTACAATTATCTTAGTGTGTAAACAAGGGTGAAATGAGACTTTCTGGTGTGTAAACTATTGCTTTTAAGCCAGAAATGACAACTGACAATCACAGCCCAGACCATGCCCAACTGTAAGCCCCCCTTCTTCTCCACTGGTGCCATTTTTACAGAAAAATTTCAAATGTTCATGTGGGCGGAGTAAGGCTAGGCACAGGTCTTTAGTTGAAAATGGAATAGGCTTATTTCAAAAAAGATTGCATCGATTGAATTTTGCCACAAAGTCTAAATTGGTGGATAATAATGAACCATAAAAAGTATTTTGTTGTATGTTTGTACAAAAACAAATAAGTAACTTACCTACTCATGGTCCATACAAATAAGATAAGATATACTATATATTTTATATGAATAGCCATATACACATATCACATAAAGGCATGCAGGCGTATACGTAATTGCTATACACTGTAATGATGGAATATAGTATCTGTTTGCAACCCATTAAAGCTACTTTATTTCAGTTTCAGGAAGAGAAGCATCATGACCAGATGAAGGCACTAGTAGTGAGGGTTTGACAGTGAGGCATGGTGAGCATTTATCAGTTAAATGTTTACCTTTTTTTGGGCTTGTCCCTGTTAATAAATAAAATGGACATGGTTCTACTGTTATCAACCTGGTGAAGCCGTTGTTTGAAAATAAAGCAATGTTTATTGTATATGGTAATCAATTAATTTTTTACATGAGGGTAATACAAAATATTGTAAACAATATTGATGATAATAAAACCAAACGACATGAATCAGAATTTTATTAACTAATTAAATTATTATATATATATATAAGAAACGTGTAGTGGGGGCCCATTGAGACTGTTTGTACCCGGGGCCCAGAATTTGGTGCTACCCCCCTGTCAGTGGGAGTTATGAAGTGGGTCTTACGGTGGGCTCAAACCCACGACCTTCAGGCCCAAAGGCCAATGCTCTACCAACTGAGCTACTGTCGCCCTAGATCAAATCCAACGAGACCTAATATGATGTTGATGAAATAAACAAATAAATTCAAATAAATTGTGCCACCACCTTTTTCTGCTTTGAATCAGATTTGAATGAATAAGGGACTATACCGCACTACACATTGACACTCGCCCCAGTCCTGGATCTACAGCCTCTGTCCTGGATCTACAGACTCAGTCCTGGATCTACAGCCTCTGTCCTGGATCTACAGACTCAGTCCTGGATCTACAGCCTCTGTCCTGGATCTACAGCCTCAGTCCTGGATCTACAGCCTCAGTCCTGGATCTACAGCCTCAGTCCTGGATCTACAGCCTCAGTCCTGGATCTACAGCCTCAGTCCTGGATCTACACTTTCAGTCCAGCCTGAGTCCTGAATCTACAGCTTCCCTGTCCGTGGGAACAGATCCCTCTCTCAATATGGCCTTAAGGTTTTTTCCCACTGTTTTTTGTGTTGTTCCTTGCTGAAGGAGAAAGGTCTAAGGACAGTTATGATCCAGGACATTTATTAAAATGTATGGTCCTCTCGCTCCCTATGGACCAATGACTTCTATGTGTTTGTTATTATTGCGTATCCTGTGTTGGTAGCATTTGATTTTCTGATCTGTTGTGGGAAAATCAACAACCTTATGAAGTCCTCCAATACAACTGCTGTTGTGGTTTAGGACTATACAAAAATTGATGGAATTGCACTGAATGAAGCGGAAGATAATGGATTAATTATACTAATGGAGTAAATATTATTGCTGTAATTTGCAGGTTTGAATATTATTCAGGTAGATTCATAATGTATGTTATACCTTGTCGTATAGTCAACCAGAATTACATATTTAAATTGTGTTATTACCACATTATTCGTTATCAATATCAACGTCCATCATAATAATAGGAAAGTTGAGCGTCACAAAAGCGCCCCCTTGTGTGCGATGAGCTCCACGTCCTCGGTGTCATGCAGGACAAAACCAGTTCTAATGTATACATTTGCGCACATGCTTTGTAGCGTGTTATTATTGCATTAGGCCAGAGTAATTATTGCACTAGGGCTGCGCTTAGATCCATGCTGAGCGCTCATGTGTCCAAGAGTCAGTGCAGTTAGATCTGAGCGGGAAAAACCACGGGGCAAACACATCCACCCCCACCACCACCACCATGCAACCTCCAGGTCAGTGATAACATACTGTAACACATCCATGATCCAGGCCCATGCAAAGACTACGCGTAAAGATGACAGAGGACGCGCCTACGTGCATGCTCTCCAACTACAGCAGTGGAAGTTTGTTCAAATCAGAAAATAACATATGATTAATGCAATTGTGGACGTCTCGCAGCTTTACCCAGGGATAGTGATCTTTTAGACGCCTGAATGTACATTTCGTCTCTGAGCTGGAACTGTCCTGGACCCTCCATGTCAAAGCAAAATGCTCCTTGTACGCGTCTAACTCGGCTTTCCATGTTGTGATGGCCCAGGCTGCACGGAGTGGATGAGTATAGTTTTCTGCAGCGCTATTGACGCTTGAGTTCCTGTTTATATGCCGCGTCAGAGAAAGTGGTCTGAGGGAAACCCCGGTGCGGATCCTGCTCTGGCCCGGGCTGTGCTGTGCTGTGCTGTGCTGCTCTAATCCTTCCAGGCTAAATTGGATTAGATTTACTCCGACTGCAATGCTCTTTGCTGCCATGTGTTGGCCAGCTTCTAGCAGCCTCTAACTCTGACAGTGGCTTGAAGTAGTAGTAGTAGTAATATAGTAGTGGTAGTGAAACATGCTTTATGGTTTATGCTAGTACAGCATTTCAGTCCATGCAAGAACTCAACATGGTTTTTCTGATTTGCTTAAATTGACAGGGGCTTCTGTACAAACTGTCATTCAAAATCATTATTTGGCTCATCCACTGTGTAACAGAGTGTGAATATCACATGTGCAGGCACTATTACATCACTGCTGTCAACACACATTACAAATGAGATGTGCCTTTGCTCTGTTGTCAAAATGAGTTCTTTTGTGTCCAGGCTTTCTGAACTATGAGGCTAATAATGATGCAATGAAATCTACCTGTTAAAAGGACTGAGGAAGGATCATACTCTGAGAATATTTGTGTCAAACAATTATACTTCAGAAGTTATCAAGAAGTTGAACCAGTACAGGAGTTGTTGAGTGCATGCAAGTCATCTATTCTAGAATAAGTCCTCTATTTATTTCTGTTTGAAGTCTATGCTAACAAGCGTGTGTGAGAATTATTGGATGTATCACAAGGCATCCCCAGCAGCACCTCTGCAGCTCTGAGCACACACACCCCGCTCCAGTCTGAGCAGGACTTTCCCTGAGCTTCCATCGGGCTCTGCATTGCAGTCCTGTCTGACCTCCACACTGTTTAGCATCTGTCACACATTACCACTATCAGCTAAATCCAGCCCGCTTACTCATATCTGGCTTTGTCTCGCCAGTGTGGGTGGACTAACCTCACTTTGCGGTCCGCTCGGAACTTGAGCATCCTCCTCTCGGATAAGGCACATGGGACGGAGCGGAGAGGATGGGCTGATGTGCACTGCTGTCTGCTGCCTCACCACTCCCTCTCTCACTACACATATAGGCTACATAATTCTATCATCAGGGCACACCGCCTACGTCAGCTGGGCATGGCTCCAGTCCCACCAGGATCAGTTTATCAAATAAGCAAGTGCATCCCACCTGTTTTCACTTCCTGACCCACTGTCCTAAGTGACATGAGCTGCACTGGTGCAAACGCATCCTGCCACAATTATGTAACAGTGCATTTGTGCCCCAAGATCCTCAATGGACTGATTGGACTGGCATTAAACTCATCAACATCCAACACATGCAAATGTCACTCTCTTGATTGGACCCAACAGGAGAATGAAAATAATGGTGGACAATTACAAAATAAAATTATTGTTATTACAATGTTCATCCATTGTTTGACCAAATGTGAAATAGGAGCAACGCACTTTATGTATTTGTATATGTTTACTGTGGCCATGTGCTGGTGGAAACTCATGAAAATATAGAATGAATAAAATGTTATTGAGTTTAGTGCACATTTAGTCACAAATAGGCTTCACTGCATTTCATTTATGTAATGTATAAAGCATTTCAGGTTTCCTGTGTCAGTGAAAAGAACCCCCTCGAGATGAAGAGATGATCATTCAAAGGGAAATCCCAAATAAATAAATAAATCAAATAAGAGAAATGTGAGGATGTCATAGAGCCACAAGCTCCTTAAGCAACAGCTGGAGTTGTTGCATCCCCAAATAATGAATCATCATGTTATAGCAAAATATAAACAATGACGTCATAATATACTAATGGCTTTTAAATGATAACCTATTAGGCTTTTTGCCATAAATACATGTCAGCCACATCCATTGTATCACTGCTTATGTAACATCATTCATCATTTGTGAATCACAGAGCGGCACTACAGAAGGAGGTGTTGCGTGATAACCTTACCTTCACGTGGCGCGGCTCCACATGCTCCGAGCGTCTCTCCGCACCAAAGCCGCGCTAAAGCCGCGCACGGCCACCTCTTCCCCGCCAGACTGAGCTGGGACAGGCTTTAAATCCTCCAGGACTGAGCCGAGGCGAGCGGACACTGCTTCACATCCACATCGGAGGAGAGGGAGGGAGGGGTGAGGGATGTTGGGGGGGGGTATGGTGGGGGTAAAGAGCATGGCTGACGGCAAATCCCAGGGTATTAGCGGACCGCGGTAAAGTGGCCCGCATCTTTCAGCTCTATGAACATGCGGCCCGCATCGGGGAAAAGACGGTGCGCGTTTTGTTGAAAACTTACGGTAACAGCGGAACGTCCTTTCGGAGTCACCCATTTTTATCGAACAGAAAGCGCCCTGGGGTCAGGGAGACACGTTTTTGTGATTAAAACCTTATAGAGATGCCACCCGGCACACATAGCACCAGCCCCTACAATTCCTCCTGCAGATTGTGAGTCCTCAGGAGGATAGCCACTCTATTGTTTACATTTATAAAGTACACAATTTGGTCCGCTAGTGCAATTTTCAAGTATTGTAATTATTTACTGGAATAAGGTGTGCGACTAATTTCACTTGACTCATGACCTTATTATTGCCCTCTACCACTGTACCAAAGACCAGAAACTTTTACTGTAGAAATATTGAGAAATATTGAGGTAAAGTAGCCATTTTGGTCCAAAATACCTCCAAAATAGTCAAAACATGTCACTTTTGATCTACTGTAACTTCTTACTGTAAAAAGGTGTGCGACTAATTTCACTGGATTCATGACCTCAACATTGCCCTCTACCACTGTACCAATGACCAGAAACTTTTACTGTAGAAATTTGGAGAAATATGGAGTTAAAGTAGCCATTTTGGTCCAAAATAGCCTAAAAATGGTCAAAACATGTCACTTTTGATCTACTGTAACTTTTTACTGTAAAAAGGTGTGCGACTAATTTCACTGGATTCATGACCTCAAGATTGCCCTCTACCACTGTACCAAAGACCAGACACTTTTACTGTAGAAATATTGAGAAAATTGAGGTAAAGTAGCCATTTTGGTCCAAAATAGCCTAAAAATAGGTCAAAACATGTCACTTTTGATCTACTGTAACTTATTACTGTAAAAAGGTGTGCGACTAATTTCACTGGATTCATGACCTCAACATTGCCCTCTACCACTGTACCAAAGACCAGGAACTTTTACTGTAGAAATATTGAGAAATATTGAGTTAAAGTAGCCATTTTGGTCCAAAATAGCCTAAAAATGGTCAAAACATGTCACTTTTGATCTACTGTAACTTTTTACTGTAAAAAGGTGTGCGACTAATTTCACTGGATTCATGACCTCAACATTGCCCTCTACCACTGTACCAAAGACCAGAAACTTTTACTGTAGAAATATTGATAAATATTGATTTAAAGTAGCCATTTTGGTCCAAAATACCTCCAAAATAGTCAAAACATGTCACTTTTGATCTACTGTAACTTTTTACTGTAAAAAGGTGTGCGACTAATTTCACTGGATTCATGACCTCAACATTGCCCTCTACCACTGTACCAAAGACCAGAAACTTTTACTGTAGAAATCTGGAGAAATATGGAGTTATAAGTAGCCATTTTGGTCCAAAATAGCCTAAAAATGGTCAAAACATGTCACTTTTGATCTACTGTATCTTCTTACTGTAAAAAGGTGTGCGACTAATTTCACTGGATTCATGACCTCAACATTGCCCTCTACCACTGTACCAAAGACCAGAAACTTTTACTGTAGAAATATTGAGAAATATTGATTTAAAGTAGCCATTTTGGTCCAAAATACCTCCAAAATAGTCAAAACATGTCACTTTTGATCTACTGTAACTTTTTACTGTAAAAAGGTGTGCGACTAATTTTACTGGATTCATGACCTCAACATTGCCCTCTACCACTGTACCAAAGACCAGAAACTTTTACTGTAGAAATATTGAGAAATATTGATTTAAAGTAGCCATTTTGGTCCAAAATAGCCTAAAAATAGTCAAAACATGTCACTTTTGATCTACTGTAACTTTTTACTGTAAAAAGGTGTGCGACTAATTTTACTGGATTCATGACCTCAACATTGCCCTCTACCACTGTACCAAAGACCAGGAACTTTTACTGTAGAAATCTGGAGAAATATGGAGTTAAAGTAGCCATTTTGGTCCAAAATAGCCTAAAAATGGTCAAAACATGTCACTTTTGATCTACTGTATCTTCTTACTGTAAAAAGGTGTGCGACTAATTTCACTGGATTCATGACCTCAACATTGCCCTCTACCACTGTACCAAAGACCAGAAACTTTTACTGTAGAAATTTGGAGAAATATGGAGTTAAATTAGCCATTTTGGTCCAAAATAGCCTAAAAATGGTCAAAACATGTCACCTTTGATCCACTGTAACTTTTTACTGTAAAAAGGTGTGCGACTAATTTCACTGGATTCATGACCTCAACATTGCCCTCTACCACTGTACCAAAGATCAGAAACTTTTACTGTAGAAATATTGAGAAATATTGATTTAAAGTAGCCATTTTGGTCCAAAATACCTCCAAAATAGTCAAAACATGTCACTTTTGATCTACTGTAACCTTTTACTGTAAAAAGGTGTGCGACTAATTTCACTGGATTCGTGACCTCAACATTGCCCTCTACCACTGTACCAAAGGCCAGAAACTTTTACTGTAGAAATATTGAGAAATATGGAGTTAAAGTAGCCATTTTGGTCCAAAATACCTCCAAAATAGTCAAAACATTTACTTTAACTCCATATTTCTCCAAATTTCTACAGTAAAAGTGTCTGGTCTTTGGTACAGTGGTAGAGGGCAATCATGAGGTCATGAATCCAGTGAAATTAGTTGCACACCTTTTTACAGTAAAAAGTTACAGTAGATCAAAAGTGACATGTTTTGACCATTTTTAGGCTATTTTGGACCAAAATGGCTTCTTTAAATCAATATTTCTCAATATTTCTACAGTAAAAGTTCCTGGTGTTTGGTACAGTGGTAGAAGGCAATCATGAGGTCATGAATCCAGTGAAATTAGTCGCACACCTTTTTACAGTAAAAAGTTACAGTAGATCAAAAGTGACATGTTTTGACTATTTTGGAGGTATTTTGGACCAAAATGGCTACTTTAAATCAATATTTCTCAATATTTCTACAGTAAAAGTTTCTGGTCTTTGGTACAGTGGTAGAGGGCAATGTTGAGGTCATGAATCCAGTGAAATCAGTCGCACACCTTTTTACAGTAAAAAGTTACAGTAGATCAAAAGTGACATGTTTTGACTATTTTGGAGGTATTTTGGACCAAAATGGCTACTTTAAATCAATATTTCTCAATATTTCTACAGTAAAAGTTTCTGGTCTTTGGTACAGTGGTAGAGGGCAATGTTGAGGTCATGAATCCAGTGAAATCAGTCGCACACCTTTTTACAGTAAAAAGTTACAGTAGATCAAAAGTGACATGTTTTGACTATTTTTGAGGTATTTTGGACCAAAATGGCTACTTTAAATCAATATTTCTCAATATTTCTACAGTAAAAGTTTCTGGTCTTTGGTACAGTGGTAGAGGGCAATGTTGAGGTCATGAGTCCAGTGAAATTAGTCTCACACCTTTTTACAGTAAAAAAGTTACAGTAGATCAAAGGTGGGAATTTTCTTAGTTTTGTGTATTTTGGACTAAAAAGTGTAATTTGTCTCAATTTTACCCACAATTTCCAAAGTAAAGGTTTGTGGTTGTAGGCACAGCGGTGAAGGCAGTGGTGAGGTCATACACCCAGTGGAATAAGATACTCAAGTCTTTACTGTAAAAATGGACAGCAGCTGAAAATTTCCCTTTTTGACCAAATTAAATGTCGAACATTTTAAGTTTTTACATGCTTTTCCAAATAAGGGTTTATTCACAAAACGAGTCTCCTAAGCGCGCTTTCTGTTCGAGGAGAAAAGCTGACTGCGAAAGGCTGTTCTGCTATTACCGT